ATCTAAAGATGAAACCATTTTAATCAATTTCAACTTTATTTTTCTGCTTGATTTGTTTGTCACTGATCTGCGCTTCCACAACACGGATCTAATCTTGTTTTTGACAGCTGTCAACACTTAAAAACGTTTTGTTTCACATACATTACATCATTTTTCAATACTTCTTCTGTTCTGAAAGTCTTTCTGTTTTTTAAAAATYCTTTGTTTTTCGCAGCCCTTTGTCTGCCGTATCACACTTTTGATTTGTTGATCTTGTGCTGGTATTGCATGGAGCCGATGTGAGCGGAGATGAGACACGGAGTCAGGGTTCAAAGTGATTTCCTCTCCGCTTTAGTACTTTATCTAATCGGACACATTGTTACATGTCAGGAACACGCTGTGGATTTCCTGTCTTTGTTTCATTTTACAACATAATTCTGCCACTTGCTTTAAAGCTGATTCCATAGGAGGAGGAGGAAAAGAAGGGCAACATTACTGCAACTTCCACTTCCAGAAACCAGAAAAATCTGTTTGCATGTTTATTAGGGAGATACTGTCACATTAATGTCTCTTCTTATAGTACTCAGGTGGGCATGTGTTTGAATTTGATGCTTTTTTTCCTCTCCAGAACCATGTGGACCCAAGCAAACGAGCAGACAGGCCAAATATCTGCCAGGATGGAGACCACCCCGTCTTTTGGCAGTGCCAGCATCTCCATCTCGCAGCAGCAGGCGCCCAAGAAGTTTGCCCCCGTGGTCGCACCCAAACCGAAGTTCAACCCGTTCAAGCAGGGAGACGGRGCCCAGTCTGACTCTGCAGGTAACTGATCCAGACAGTACCACGAGTTAGACACCATRTAATAATCATCAAGTTTATTTATCATCGCTGCTTCCAAGGACGTAACTTTAGGTTTAACTTTGGGAGGGTTATGCTCTCACCCTATTTATTTACTCATTAACTTTTCTAAATGATTCAAGATATTTTGGGGTTAAAATCCATAGTAATACATGAGGGAGTCCTAGTCCGATATCAGTGATGAATATCGGTCCAATATTAGCCAAAAAAAAAAAAAAGAATATCAGATAAGACTGGCCTGCACCTAAAATCACAGGTATAAGCAGTCTAATAGAAGCGGTCCATTCCAGTGGTCCGCTCAGGATTTCTATCCAGCAGTGCTTAGATCTAGCATAAATAGCTTAAATGACCTTMAATAGTTATTTTACACTTGTTTTTATTGGATTTATTGAGGCATTTGTTTAGGGTCTTCTATTCTATTATTTATTTATGGTATTTAATTATACAATATTCTTATGTTGAAGTTAAAAAGCTATGTAACCCATTGGTTAATATTAAATGGGACCAGTCTTTCTCATACCTACTGTTTACTGTTTGACTTGATCAAGACTTTTTAACATTCCACTCTACATAAAAAGTTATAAAAGTAGGTAGGTTTTATTCTGATATCGCATCAGGTCAATATTCAAGGCTGTAATATCGGTATTGTATCGGAAGTGAAGTAGTTGTATTGGGACGCCCCTAGTAATACTTTTACTGTCACTTTCTTAACTTTCATACTGTCTTTGTATTTACTCTGTACCTTCCTTTGTTCCACGTCAGTTCAACAATTAAGAAAGGTTTATTATCCCCTCCCATTTTGTCCAACAGTAACAAATATTTTACATTAAGTATTACATGACATACATAAATTTCAGAAGTAAATTTCAGGAGTAAAGCATATATATTTACCTGCTGCACCACAATTTGGTTTGGTTGAAATTACATGCATGATTCACCATGTACAGCCATAATGTGATGAGCAGTCTAAAACCCTGCATGTCAATTTCAGCAGTTATGATTAAACATGCATATTTAACAAAATAACTTTTGAAATCAGGRCAAAGTTACCTAAAGACCACAAGAGAGCTGCAGCTGTGGACTTACCCAGTTCATTCTATTGTGTTAGAGCAAATATGCCATTGTTATGTTGACTGAATCAAATTGTTGTGGGGGTCATAACCCCCCCCCAACCTCCCTGCAAGTTACACCCATGGCCACTTCTGTTTCTCTTTTGAGCTGTATGTGTAACAAGAAGTCAGAAAACTGTCACAAAATCAGATTTTTAGCTTATTTTAATCCTATTTTGTATTTTATTTGATTGTATTGAATAAATTTAACATATTCCAGAGATCTAAAATCCCACATCAGATGTGTAGACGTAATTAAAGGCCAACATGAAGTTATTTAATATAAACTTTTCTTTACATTCTGAGTAACTTGTATGACCTTAAGAGAAATTTGCGTCTTTATTTCTTAAACAATAATAATAATAAGCTCATATTTAAAACAATATGGGAAACATCTATGTATGCTGTGTGAATGTGTTTGCACTTAGTAATATAAAAGAGTTATTTTAATTTTCATCAACTTTATTTTGAAGCATAGTGAAAATCAAGCTAGGAATTGTAATTTCAAGAGTTTTTCCTACAGGATGAAGAAAACAGACATGCATTGTTTTTGTTTTATTGTTCAGTGCACGATAATAACCACCTGCATGTGCACGTTGTTATGCACATCGACCACCTGCTGAGATCCTGTCCAGTAATAACTCTGCCTGTGTGAGGATGTTTAGATTGGACAGATGAGGCTAAAACCAGACTACATTTGTTTTGAAAGGGAAAGCCTTGTTAACATCTCTATCTGGTTTTAGATCAGCATTTAGCTAGTTAGTTAAAAATTAAACAAGGGTTTTCTGCTGCTAAACACTTTAGTTTTACACTGTAGAACTGGGAACAATGGGCCTCATGCAAGAACATGTTCGTATTCTTATCCTAAATTTCTCTTACTTTTGTTCGTACAAAGGGTTCGTACGAACATGTCACGTCAGATTCAACAAACTCTTCTATCTTCAGGAAAAGTGTGTAAATGAGCTGCGTAAATTCCACCTGTTCTATCCAGCTGCTCGTGCACGTGAGAGAAGATTAGTATAATTACCACCCCAAAAACACCATATAAGGCTGTGTTTCCTGCCTCAGATATCAGGAAGTGTCCATTCAGGAAAATGACAGCGAAAACTAAAAAGAAGAACTTTACAAGTTCAGAGATTGAAGTCCGTCTGTCAGAGATCAAGAAGAGAAAATCTGCAATTTTTAGCAGGTCAGCTGTGGAATAAAAAGAGCTGCTAAAAGTATAAACAACTGTGTTAAATCATTTTCATTTATTCAGAAGCCACACCGTATCCCCCCCGTGGTCTCCAGTGGTCTCGGTTGCGGTTTTGAAATAAGCATTTTAAAATGTTTTCAAAATAAGTCTGGCACTTTGGAGAAAATCAAGGACTCACTGGAGGGATTGTGTATCCACCCTGGTCTGGGAACGTCTCGGAGTCCCCCAGGACGAGCTGGAAGGTGTCGCTGGGGAGAGCGGGGTCTCTCTSCTGCTGCCCCCGCACCCGATAGCGGATAAGCTGGCCGGACGGACAATTTATATTGTTAGTCTAAATTATTACATTTAAAATTATAACTCTAATTCAAGCAGAATAGCCTGTTGTCAAGATAATCATGGAGTGTAATTTATTTTCAACTCAAAATATCTTCAAACTAACGAAATATAAAGTTATTAATGAAGAAAACCCGTCTGGATAACAGCAGACTGACTGCTCGTAAAATATACGACAGGTCTGGACCACTCGTYAATTTTGTTCGTATCTGAAAAAAATCTTAGAATACGAAAACATTGGTGAATGCCACAAATTCTCCTAAATCACTCGTACGCACAACTTAAGAACAAATCTGTGCGTACGAACGSTTCTTGCCTGAGGTCCAATATGTTCACAGTGTGAACACAACTGGTGTTTGTTTATTCCATTTACTCCAGATTTTACTTTTTCTATTTCATAACATGATCATGATCAGCTGAACTGTTCTCTATCACACCCCCTGCTACTTTAATGTGTGAAAATAAACAAATTACCCCACTTTCAAAGACGAGCTCTTGTTTTCTCAAAGCAACATCAGAGCTTGTTTCACCATCACCTGGTAAATGTATCTGACATTGGTTTCCATAGTTTCAGTCGTATTTTTCTTGAATCCTAAAAGCACGTGGATAAAAGAAGTGATTGTGGCCTGCTGGATTTAAACCTTGAACAGGCTTTTAAAATCTCCTTCATGAACTCAAAGCGTCTATAAACGATGAAGAGGGGAAGAAAATCTGAAAACACGACAGGAACATGTGTTTCTGAGTTTTGAGCAGCAGCGTTGCTCTGACGATCGCATTTCTATGGAATTTACACAATAAGTTTTTATTTCCCCTCCTCCTCCTCCTCCTTCTCCTCCTTGTCGTATCGAGTGGTCCGAGACGGTGGTTCCGTCTTAGATGTGCTCCTTTTTTTTTTAAGCTGAAGAAACTCATGAGAATAAGTGACCCTGAACAGTTTAAATGATTGAAATTCTCGATGTGAGCAGTGAGAGCAGATACTGCATGAATAATTTTGGATAAACACAACAAGAAGTGTGGTTTGCAGTCATGTGTGAGTTCAGGAAGCCTTGTGTTGGGCTCGTTTTATTTTTCTGGTCCCCTGGGAAATGATGGTTTGTAATTAAATAATAAAAAAACACAAAGCTGCACTTACTGAAACAAGTCTATGACTTWAATTTTTGAGCATAGATTTTCATTTAATTATTTGAATAATTATTCTTTGGTAGTTACATTTAAGGTAAAAGTAAATCAGAAATGTTTGTAATTAAAAATCTAAATATAAATGATAACTACAGTATTTCATCATATACATCATGAAGTAATTAAATTGGGCTTTATGTTTTTAATCGTTTTAGATTTAAATGATGAAAGAAGGAAGGGTGGGAGTGCAGAAATATAAAAATTTTAAAAATCTTTGTTTTTAAGAAGCTTTATGAAGTTTTTGGTAATGATGGATCAATTTTCAAGGATTGTTTCTGTTAAAAATGAGCTTAAATTACTTATTTTCCTACATTTTGATGTTGATAAAACTAGAGTTTCTATGTTGCTTTCCTATATAAGAAGATAGAAAAATGATTTAAAATAATTCTAAAACTCTTGAGTTTGTTTTGAAGCCTCCGGTGTCCAAGACGTGCTAACAGTGCAGCCTAACGCACAGATACATCCCTTCACGTCTTCCGCCTTCCTGTCTCTTCATGATGTTGCGAAATGAACATTATCTAACCCCTCTACCCTCAACCCCCCTGAGAGTCCTAGATTTCCAAAACAGGGGAAACGGTTATGAAATTCAGCGAGCAGCGATCGCACCATGAGGCTGAAAACACGGCTGTCAGTGGGGGTTTGTGGTTTGAGTTCAGATCTTCTGCTGCTCCAGATGTGAGCTTCGTAAAAGTTGTTCTTAGACGGCGCCTTTTTCAGCTCTGCCCACCAGTGAAGCGATGCGAAACGAAATGAAACAAGGCGAAGGCAAAGCGTTTTATACAAGATGTTAGGGTTAAAAAAACAYACAAACTTACACTTTATAATAAAATGGGAGATAAGTGGAAAGCTATTTATTTTAAAAGTATATAACTGGCTCAAGCAATAGTGATGTTAGAAAGTTCACTGTCTGATGCAGAAAATCTGGTTTTAGAACAAGAACTGGAGAGAAGATATCTTTTCATAATATGTGTGTGTGTGTGTATGTGTGTGTGTGTATGTATATATAAATGTATATGGCCCACCTTGTTGAAATAAAGATTGTGCCTGAGCTACTGGCTGTGAGCATAGAGAGTTTAGGAGAGCAGAGTTGGCTGTAAAAGAAAAAAGAAACTTGAAGCCATAGAGCTTTGTAAATGTGCTAAATATAG